GTGGGTGTGATGTTCTGTGACCGCGTGGCGCAGGGTGTGAAATGCGCCCCTGATGAGAGGGGGGAGGGAGGGGGGGAGTCTCGCCGCGCGCTTCGACAGGTCGTCGGAGTCGAAGGGGGCCGGGCGCTGCCGGCCGTCGTCGGCGCCGCCGAGCGCCCCGTCGCCGCTCGTAGGCGCCTCGTCGGCCGCGTCGGGCTCCCCCCCCTCCGCTGCGTTCGCGGAGGGCTGGAGCGGAGGGGCGGGCAGGGCCGGCGGGGGGCGCGGCTTCTTGGGCGTCTGGCCGCGCGCCTTGGGCGCCTTGTTGGCGCCCAGCGCCTTGTCGGCCGACTCGGGCTTGGGGCGCGGGCGCGCGACCTTGGTGGCTCCGCCGGCGGAGCGGCGCGCCTTGAGCGGCGCGGAGCCGCGGCCGCCAGAGGGATCCTCCCCGCCGCTCGCAGGGCGGGCGGCGGGCGAGGGGCGCCCGCTCTGGCGCGCCGCGGGGAGCTTGGCGTCCTCCTTGTCGCGCGCCGCCCGCTTGTCGGTGGCGCCGGAGACCAACTTCTGGTCCGGTGCGCGGCGCGGGAGGGCGGCGGGGCCGGTGAGCTTGGATCTCGGGCGGTGGACGGGCGGGACAACAGCGCTCCCCGAGCTGATGCCGAGGGGGGGCGACGTCCGCGACTTGAGCTTCTTGCGCGGGATGTCCTCGGCCTTGCCCGAGGGGAGGTTCTTCTCTGAGCGCGTTGGCGGTGCGGCGTCGGGGGTGAGCTCGGCGCGCTGCGCGTTGCGCTCCTTGAGGATGGACGGGTTCTTGGGGACGGTGTCCAGCGCCTCGGCGAGGGCCGGGTCCTCCTCTAGGTCCTGCTGGGGGCGCAAGGACATGGGGAGAGAGCGCGTAGATGCCTCGTGCCTCTCCAAAAAGAAGAATTTTTTCGGGCCCGACCCCCGCCCTCCAGCGGTCATGGCATCGACCGACGCTCTCGAGCTGAAGGTGGCATCGCTAGAGGCCAGGCTGAAGGCACGTGAGCTCGAAGCCACGGTGGCGTCGCTCGAGAAGAGACTAGCGGGTCCGAGCGGCGAAAACAAACAGGAGACGAAAGACCGGGCTCATAAGGCGATGCGGGAGGCAGTCAGGGCATTCGACCACCAACTTCGAATATTTGGCACCTTTGGGGCCGTCCTTCAGATCTCTGCGCTACTGCTGTCCCTCGCCATTGCGCTCTCCTCTGCTCTCCTCGACGAATCTAGCGCTCGCGTGTCTGCCACGGTCCTCGCCGCTGTCTCCTCTTTTTTGCTGGGAGTCGACGTGACGTGTGGTATCTCAAAGCAAGCCGCCTACGCCGACAAGAGCTCCCGCACGCTCTCATCCATCCTCAAGAAGTGCGAGGGCGGCACGCTCGACGCGACTGTCGTGCAAACGGAGCTCGATCATGCGCTGCTGCAGCCGGAGCCTTCGCTGCTAGCGAGAGCATGCGGCTGCTGCAGCGTCAGTAATAGTCGGGTGGCCGCTCGCGACCTTCCACGCTGACGGATGCTGGCCCACTGACAAGTAGCAGGTCGCTCCTCAAAGTGGGGGACCGACGATTCGAGCCACTGACTCCTTGATATAGCGCGTCAGTTAAGGTACTGTTATGAGTCATGCGTCCGCA